TACCCTTCAAACAGCCGATCTCCACCAGATCGCGAGCCAGCTTCTCCTTCAGACAAAAACCTAAACCCTAAACCCTAGACCCTAAAACCCTAAACCCTAAACCCTAAAACCCTAAACCCTAAACCCTAAACCCTGAAGACCTTTATCAACAAATATCATAAAAGAGAGTTTAGGGTTTAGGGTTACTAACCCTGTTAATAGACAAAATAGAAACCCTAAACCCTAGCAAACCCTAAACCCTAACAACCCCTAAACCCTAAACCCTAAACCCTAGATAACTTTATGTTGCTGCATACACCACATAAATAAACTCTCCCCCTAAAAAGAATCCTAATAATCTTCTTTAGGGTTTAGGGTTTAGGGTTTAGGGCTTTTGTTTCTACATAGACCCCTAAACCCTAAACCCCCTACACCCTAAACCCCCTAAACCCTAACCCCCCTAAACCCTAACCCCCCTAAACCCTAACCCTCCTAAACCCTAAACCCCCTAAACCCTAACCTTCCTAAACCCTAAACCCTAAACCCCCTAAACCCTAAACCCTAACCCCCCTAAACCCTCTAAACCCTAAACCCTAAACCCTAAACCCTAAACCCTAGACCCTACATCGCTGATATATATTCTGTCTTCTGGGGTTAGAAAGGAGTCCAGGTAGTCTTCGTATGTTTCTACGTGCCGCAGCTCCTCAGCTAGGCTGCTTGCTGGCCCCCCCATGTTGCGGTGTATATACACCTAAACCCTAATAAACCCTAAACCCTAATAAACCCTAAACCCTAAACACTAAACCCTCAAGAGAGGGTTTACTAGAACACCGATAGGAAGTATACTTATCCAGAAGAAGAAACCCAAGTAACAGAGTAACCAGAGAGTTAGGGGATAGGGGTTAGGGTTTAGGGTTTAGGGTTTAGGGTTTAGGGTTTTGCTGGGGCCCTCATATATAGAAGGAGAGAAAGAAGAGGAACGAGAGGCTAAACTATTTCTTTTTTCACAGTTTTATTTATTTTTATTTTTATTTTTTATTTTTATTTATTTTATTCTTTCTTTTTCTTTATTTTATCTACTCAGCTCATGCATACACCGCAGCAGCAGCAGCAGCAGCAGCAGCAGCAGCAACGGCTGGGGGCCCCTATCAGGGGCCCCCATCAGGGGCCCCCCAGCAAGGGGGGCCCCCAAAAGAGAGATTTGTTTTATCTTTATTCTGAGAGTATAATTATAATAAAAGTATAAATAAACTTTTCTTTTCTTTTCTATCTTTTTTTTCATCTTCTTATAAACTAGGGTTTAGGGTTTAGGGTTTAGGGTTTAGGGTTTAGGGTTTAGGGTTTAGGGTTTAGGGTTTATAAACTATGGGGTCTAAACTTCGTTGTATAGATTTAGATTCTCTTCGTCTTAATTATGCTGCAATAGAAATGTTAATGGGGGGCCCCCTAGAGGGTACTGAGGGGGCCCCCTCTCCCCCCGAGGGTACTGGGGGCCCCCCCCCCCAATCCCCTGAGGGTACTGGGGGGCCCCCAACCCCATCTCCTGAGGGTACTGGGGGGGGCCCCCCTCCCCCCGAGGGTACTGGGGGGGGCCCCCCTGTCCGTGAGGGTACTGGGGGGGGCCCCCCCCAATCACCTGAGGGTACTGGGGGGGGCCCCCCGCAGTACCCTGGGGGGCCCCCCAAGATAACTAAGAAGAGGAGAAGAGATATATGTCCTGGCTGTGGCTGCTGTCGCTCTTTCTATTGCAGCAAATGTGTTTGTCTCGTTGGTGCTGCTGCTGCTGCTGCTGCTGCAACAGCAGCAGCAGCAGCAGCAACAACAACAGCACCAGCAACAGGAACAGCAGCAGCAGGAACAGCAGCAGCAGGAACAGCAACAGCAGCAGCAACAGCAGCAACAGCAGCAACAGCAGCAACAGCAGCAGCACCAATGACAAATGGCATATCAACAGCAGCCTCTTCCTCCTCTCCTTCTCCTTCTCCTCCCTCTTCTTCTTCTTCTGTTTCTGTTTCTTCTTCTTCTCTATCTTCTTCTCCTTCTCCCTCTTATTCTCCTCCTCCTTCTTTTTTCTCTCCTCCTTCTCCTCCTCCTCCTCCTTCTTCTTCATCTGTCTCTTCTTCTTTTTCTTCTTCTTCTTTATCTTCTTTTTCTTCTGTCTCTTCTCCCTCTTCTTCTTCTTCTTCATCTTCTGTCTCTTCTTCTTCTTCTTTATCTCATCCTTATTCTTCTTCTTCTGTCTCTCCTCCTCCTCCTCCCTCTCCCTCTCCTCCTCCTCCCCCCTCTCCTCCTCCTCCTTCTGTCTCTCCTCCTTCTCCTCCTTCTTCTGTCTCTTCTTCTTCTTCTTTATCTTCTTCTTCTTCTTCTCTTTCTCCTTCTCCTCCTCCCTCTTCTTCATCTCTCTATCCTCCTCCTCCCCCCTCCTCTTCTCCTCTATCTCCTCCTCCTCCTCCTCCTTCTCTCTCTTCTTCTTCTTCTTCTCCTCTATCTCCCCCTCCTGCCTCTTCTTCTCCTCCCCCTCCTTCTCTCTCTCCCCCTCCTCCTCCCCCTCT